CCTATCATGTCTACCTTATCTACATTGCTACCTTGCCTTTTCTTATCATATATTATCATGTATTGTCCTATCTTAACTTATCTTATCCTGTTTTATCCAAACTTCCCATCGTATCCTGTCGTGTCCCATGTTGTCCTGTCTTATCCAGCCTTACCCTATCTTATCATATTGTATCCTCTCTTATCCTATGTATCTGTCTATCAATTTTGCCCACCTATCCATCCTATGTTTGCTCTCCTTCCTATCTATCTCCTCGTGTATAGCTATTCTCTATCATGTCTGTCCTTTCTACCTTATCTACCTTGTCTACCTTACCTCCCTGTACATTATCCTGTCTTAGCCTACCTTAACCTATTTTATCCTATCTCATGCTATCTTATCCTGCGTTGTCCTATCTTATCCTATCTTACCCCATGTTAGCCTATCTTGCCGTGTTTTATCCTGTCTTATCCTAACGTAGCCTATCTTATCCCATGTAACTATCTATATATCATATCACATCCTGCCCTGTCCTGTCTGATCCTATCTTAGCCTATCTTATCCTATCTATCAATCTATTTTGTCATATCAAATCCTGCCTTAGCCTGCCTTATCCTGCCTTGTCCTGCCTTGTCCTGCCTTATCCTGTCTTATCCTATCTTATCCTATCGTATATTATCTTATCCTATGTGTCTATCTATCTATCTACCTACCTATCTATCTATCTATCTATCTATCTATCTATCTATCTATCTACCCGTCGAACTATCTATCTACACACATACCCATCTATCTATCTATCTATCTATCTATCTATCTATCTATCTATCTATCTATCCTATCCATCTCATCTAGCCTAACTATCATATCTATCCTATCTGTCCTACTTGTACTGTCTATCTCACCGTATGTATCTTATCTATGTTTCCTGTCTTATCTACCTGATCTATCTTATGTGGTGTGTCTACCTTGTCTATCATATCTATCTTTTATACATTTACATAACATATATATATATATATATATGTATATATATATGTGTGTTTGTACTATTGATCCTATCCTTTTCTGTCGTATCTTCTCTTATCATGTATCATCCTATATTACCCTATCCTATCCCAGGTTGGCCTATCTTACCGTGTCTTATCCTATCTTAATTACCCTATGTATCTATCGATCTATCCATCTATCAATCTACGTATCTTATCTCTATGACTGCCGGGGCTCAGAAAAAAGCCCTTAACAACGAAAACGCAACGAACACCTTCGAAAGCCGTGCAAATGCGAACACCGCAAAAACGCGAAAACTGCGAAAACCACGAAAACTGCGAAACCGCGAAAACCGCGCAAACGCGAACTCGGTGAAAACGAGAACTCTGCGAAAACCACAAAAAACGCGAAAGCGCGAAAACCGCGAAAACGCGAAAACCATTCTTTTGTCCGGTTCTCGGTTCTTTCTGATTGTCGGTTTTCTCGGTTTTCTCGGTTTTCTCGGTTTTCTCGGTTTTCTCGGTTTTCTCGGTTTTCTCGGTTTCCTCGGTTTCCTCGATTGTCCGGTTTTCGCGGTCTTCTTCGGTGTTCCGGTGTTTTCTCTGTTTTCCGGTTTTCTCGATTGCATGGGAACAAAGCTATGCATGTCAAGTCATCACGGCTCGCTCCCTGGGTCGCCTCACTCTTAAAATTGTCGCAGACATCGCTGCCAAGACCCACCTGCACGTTGAAGGCAAAGAAGGATCTTGTTGAACGGTTGATCAGATAGTTGGAATCGGAAGACGTTCCTTTCCCCTGAATACGGCCTAGTAAATGAACAGCTTCAGAAAGCCATTGCGAATCTCTGTTCTAAGTTCACATCGGGGATGGGAATGGGAAATTGGTGCGCAGCCTTGGAATGATGAAGTGCACAAACTCGCAGGCTCTGCGCCCAAGCAACAACACAGACCTCCTCAGGACGGCAACGGCACGTCTGACAAACCGAACATCAACGCTTGTAAACAACTATATTCAAACAGCCTATTTGTTTCGGCGCAAAACCTCGCACAATTAAACGCCGTCCCCAGCTTCAGCCTGTGACAATGCAAAAGATGTGACAAAGCGAACATCTGGATCAGCATGCCAACATGCTTAGAACAAACAGTCGGACAGCACAAAGACCACCAACATGGTGCAAACTGTTCAGCACAAAAGCTCAAACAATCTTTGCGTCAAATGTGGCAATGATATGAAGCTTGCTTCAACCCAGAAAGGGTCCTCAACAAGCAGATTTCAAGGGTAGTGACAGCAGGCCTGGGTGATCAACAGGTTTCATCAGAAATGTAGATAGAAAGACCGTTTCTTGTGTCCATTGTCCCGGTCAGACCAGGCCCCCCAGGCCCAAAAATTGATATATCACCCACAAAAGCAACCCTGTAACCCCTGCGGTCCTCTCCAAGTGGCGCGCGCCAAGATGCAAGATTCCACACTCCAGAGTCTGCCAGCACATCCTCCAGAATGTCACTTGAGCCCATGGGAATTAGGGTGCAGCTAAACGAACCTCCTCATTGACCCCCAACGCTGCAGCCTGCGCAGCTCAAAACTCGATCAAAACAAATACGCATGTTGGGCAGGCCTTACCGAACCTCCACTCCACCAAAGCGCGAACCCTGAGTTGCTCGAGCGCATGCGCGCAGGGCAATGCAACGAATGTGACTTAATTACTGCCCACTGCTCAGCACTGCACGCCCGAGCATCATCCTGGAGCCGCGTCCATCTAAGAGAGAGAGAGAGAGAGATGCGTTTCTTCCAGTCCTCGAAGGAGGAGCTGTCGCCCGCCAAGGCACACCTGCGCGCCGCCTCCTGCACTGCGAATTTCTTGAGTGACGCATTTCGTGGCCCCCCCGCAAAGCCTCGAGATGCTGCGTCAAGCTGCCGTACAGCTCGTGGACGTCCTTGCGAATCATTCGAGTTGAAACCTCCGCTGGGAACTCGATGGGCTGTCCTGGTAGGAGTTGTGGATGGCCTGCACGACATGCACAGCGCAGACCCCTCAACCCCTTGCACCCCCGCCTCAGGGCCGATCTGATCCAAAGGAAAATCCTGGCATTGGGCTAATCAATCTCTTCCATGGTGAAATTCATGCGGCGTCTCTTTGCCATCCTCCCACCAGCGAACATTGTTGATAGCCTGCGATGGCCTCGGCTGTACAGCTTCAGCATCTCTCAAGGCAAGGCTGAATGGAAAATGCTCACGCTGAGTGGTGGACAGTGCAGACTGGCTGGAGGCTGCCAAAGCAGCCTCAGCTCTGGCCGTTTGCGCAGGGATTCCAATCGGCATGAAACTTGGCCGGGCTCGCCACCAGTGCTTCTGATGGCAGCCCTGTGCTCCCGCAGTTTGCCTCGTGCAACATGCTGCCTCCACCAAGCCTACTAGCAAGGAATGGCATTTAGTGATGGCACTTGACCTGTGATGTGTGCAAACCTGACATCGCATTGCTTGTGCCGCCCGCCCTGGCTTGAAGCTCCGCTGCGCCTGGTCGTTTCTGTGTCTCTCATTGCTCGTGTAAGCGCGGCCGCGTTGATCTGCGCATCTCAGTTCACAGCTCAGCGTGTGCGCCAGGACTTCTCGAAGCGAGCGGCTGTGCCTTGGCCGCCAAGGACGCAGCGGTCTTGAAGGATGCAAGAAATGGCTCTGGCTCAAAAACGTGTACCCCAAAAATTGCCCCTAGGTAAATGGAAACAAAGGCCAACACTTGCGTGCGTACCCCTGGCTCTTCAATTTTGAGCCACACCCAAATGCGCCGCAAAGTCTTCAGGCAAGTTTTGCGGCCCAAGCAAGCCCGTCTTACGCGCCAAGATGATAATAATTGGTCTCTGCTGTACGAATATCTATTCTGGACGATAGCGTGTGCCGCACCGGGTGACCCCAGGTGCAGCAGGACGCAGCCTGCCTTCTTGGCTTGCACTCCTGTTCTTTTAGAATCAGGAATGCATGAGAGCATTGATGCTGTCCAACTGATTTCATTGAATGCAACTTGCTGCGAAAATGGCCGTTTAATTTTGTTGCATCAATGATTGACCCGCAAAGCACACACTTTGGCGGACCTTAGGTCACGTGCCAAGGAAGCTTTGGATGCCCAGCGAACACCAGGGCCAGCAAAGCTCTGGAGCAGCAAGTGCAGCAAGTGCAGCAAGTGCAGCAAGTGCAGCAAGTGCAGCACTGCTGTGTCCCAACCGAGCCCCACAAGTGAACAAGTAAGCAACTATATGCAATTGATTCGCATCAGCACTTCCATTTCAGAGGCTGTGTTCAGTTCGGCTCGGGCCGTTCTGACACTTACAAGCCGCAGCTTTGAAGGCATATGCTTCAAGCAGTCCGCACTGGATATCAAGCCGTGCATGGCGTCCACTCTGTGCACAGGACACGACAGTGATGCAAAGCATCCCCCCTCGGGCGATCTGCACCTGAGAACCCCCCCCCCCAAAAAAAAAAGAAGAAGGAGAAAAAGCAGCAGTCACTAGCCAATGCCAACATGAACTGAGTGGAAGGTCTCGCTGTTGCAAGCTCCACACGACTCTGTTCATGGAGTCCAATATCCATCTTGTGCCGAGTTGCTTGCCGTTCTCTGATCTCTGCCACTTTGATTGCATGCCTTGGCTGCTTGACTGCACAGCCGGCGAATGCTCAAGAGCGCCATGCGGTTTGGAAACAACTTGAGGGATGGCACGGCCAGAAGGCCTGGTCTCTACACAAGTCATCTTCGCAGGGGAAATTACTACGAAATGGCAAGCTAAGCAAACCGAAAAGCATGCGTCTGGGCAAGATGTAGCGGGGGAATCCATTGCCGAAACAGACCAGGAACGCTGAAATAGCAAGTCTAGACAAACGGTAAAGCATGTTATGCGCGTTGGCCGGCACATGTGCTGCAAAATGCACGGACAAATTGCTGTGGCAAGGCATGTTGGGCACAAGTAAAAAGTAGCTTGCACGGATTGCAACCCGCGCAATAAACACATGCCAAGTCTCTAAGAAAGCTGAAGTGGAGCAAGTCAACCAGACTGGACAGAGTAGCCATGGAGTTGTAAGTAGTCCTTAAGTGGCACGCACAAGGAGCCTGCAACATTGATGTGCCTGCAGCTCTCATAGAGTATGTTCCAAGTGGAGGCGAGATTCTTTCCACTGGTCCAGATTGTACTCCGATTGCCTCAGGCTTGCGAGGCTGGCAAGGTTCGATCCTGAACCGCAAACTTCACTCGTGCGCGATCAATAACCAAGGACTGTACCCCGTCTCATCACCTCAGAGCAAACTGCCGCCTGAAGCCTGGAACATGTGCCTGGCTGAAACATCGTACAGTCATATGTTGCTGTTCATGAAAAAGAACGATCTGGAAACTGCATGCCCAGCGGCTGAAAACTCGAGCGGCATGGAACTGTGCCTCGTTCTGCGGCATTGGCAGGCTGTGCTCTGCCAATGCCCTCAGAAAATCGATTCCTGGGTGCAAGCAAGCGCTTGTCAGGTGCTCACAGCTTTTGGAGGCGATAACCATTTGTGTGCTACAAATCACACGCACACACTTTGCATTGCCAAAGCACGCTGCTCAAGGTCATCTGGAAGCCACTGGCTCCCCACATCTTGATCAGTCAGCAGTTGTGGAGGCAACGGCTCACATTCGACACATCCTTCTTGGTAGTCCCGATCTTTCTTCGCAAGGACTTTGGGGCCTAACAGCTCGTCAGCCCCAACACACGCTGAGACACTCTCTTATGTGCCTCCTGAATGCTTGCCGGGGCACGGCGCAAGAAGGGCAGAAACTTAGCAACCATGCGTCAGCACGACTCCTGCCAAGCCTTCGACACCTAAAGCTAACTGAGCCCTGCTAAAGGCTTGAGCTGCGCAGACAGAAATCGAGTCAGAGTTGAATACTGGATTTCTGCAGGTCCGGAATACCCACAAAAAGCTTAAACAAGCCTTTGAAGATTCAGCACCGCACTGTTCTGCTCTGATGGCTGCCTCGATGCTGTGGAGAGCCTGCCCCAAAACAGCTTCAAACGCGATGCATGCCAAGCGCACACTGCTGCTGACCCCTCTCGGTTGTTGTGAAGGCTCACGCTGCCTGCTCTGCACATCTTTTGGCCGTTTCCCGAGCCAGCGCGCTGGCATTCACCTCAGGTGAAAGCGCTGAATTGGACAGGGCGATCTCGATGGTGCCACGCCTGCACTGCATCCTCGAGGATTCCCATGCCTCAAGCAGATTCCCGGTGGCAAGCCCGGCTCTGAGAATAGCATGGAAGCTTGGGATCGCGCAAAGCTGCGCTCCCTCACGTGCAGTAGCTGCTGTCCTGTCCTTGGACAATGACCAAAACGAAGCAAGACGCAAGCCCACAAACGCTAGACTACGTTGCTTTGGACATGCAGCGGCCCGTAAAGGAATTCTACGTATTTCGTGAGGCAGCGGCGGCGTGGTTCGCTACGCGGCCAGCCGCGAGTGCAGCAGCGAGAATGTTGCCTCGTGTTGCACCTCTCTGCTGTTGAAACGATTCCTCACCACTTCAATGGACACAGTACGCAAGTGCTACACCAAGCCAACCTCCTGAAAGACTCCCTGATGTTCGGCCTGCCAAACGGAAAGAAATGCACAACACTGCCTCTTCGCAAACTGCGCCTGAGTGCACACAGCATGAGGTGCAACATGTCATGCCAACATCGATCACGGACCAGCTGACACTTGCTTTTCTGTGCGGCCTCCGTGACCCTCGCTGGCGACCAGTTGATGGGCAAGCGACTCAGGCAACACCAATGAGTCCTCTCCAAAAGTGACGATTAGTAAAGCTGTGGGCCCTGCACAAGCTTCTCCCGCAGAACGTGCCTCTAGCCCCATTACTGCAAGGCACGCAACCCCCGTGCCAAATGGAATCCTGAATCAAAACCATCTCACCATCTTTAGACTCTAGGGCCAGCTCATCAGCGTGAGCTTGCTGACCAAAGCTGCGGAACACGTCCTGCCACCGGCGCGCGCGTGCGCATTGCGCGGGCGGGAGGCCGTCTGATTTTGCCCGTGGCAAGCACCCCAAGAAACGAAGCAAACGTGCCACAGGGCCAAAACCAAGGCAGCCGGTGGGGGACTCAAAACTGCCACAATCAAAGTGCCAGGCTCAGTCCTCACCGGCGCCGGCGGCTGGCCTGAACAAAAAACACGGTTGAGCTGCACCCCAAACCGAGCCGGCTCGCTGCTCCAATTCACCGAGCCTGTGTCGGCCAAGGGCTTCCAGCCCTGCTTCTTGAGGCATGATGGCAAAAAAGAGCAAGGCCTTGATTGAAATGCGCGGATTCAGCACCATCAACTGTCTAGCTCTCCCTCTGGGAGCATGACCTCCTTCACCACTGCCTGGGATACAACCAATGTTGAGCACAAGTGGGCGCAGCAGGCAGTGTATGCAAAAGCAATGTTGAGACACAAACTCGTCACTCGCAGTTCCCCACTGGATCTTTTTGAAACTCTGGGGCCCAAACAAGCGCTGGCAAAAGCCATCCGCTTTTCTCTGAGCACCGGGCGTCAACAGCATAGGCCGTGGACGATGCAGCGCTGGAAGCAGCTGCCGCCAACCCAGCCTCGGGCAGAAAGTATGCCAAACCGCAGGCCGGGTCGCTAAAGCCCGTGCTAGAGTCGCTAAACGGCCCGGAATTTCTGAGCTGCTCAGATCAAGTCTCACGCAGGTCTGCCGAGGCTCAGCCAACCAATGGCAAGCTACAAGGCGTCGGCGTGTCCAGCTGACTGGACAGGCTGTACATCGCGCGCATTTGCGCACACGCGCTTTCAAGGGCAGCGTGTCATCCAAACAAACAAACAAACAAGCAAACAGAACCCAAGCTCCCGGCCACTTGCGGCTGAGACAGGGGTTAAGCTGTCACCAGCGGAGATGCATCTGGCAGCTGTGTAGTCTCAGAAGCGCAAGAGACGTCTGTCACGTTGCCCCCAGGCTTTCTCTTCTGACCCCTAGGGGTCTCATTTTTAACCTGTGGCTTAAACGGAGCAGTGCCTTGCAAAGGCTCATCCAAGATTCCGGGATTTGCCTCGTCAACGGCCTTCATAGCCTGCTCCAAAACATGTGCAGGTCCTCCCTCCTTCTTTCGCATGACGGCATCTGCAGTGTTTCGGAAGGCCTTGTTTCCTCGAAGGCCGGCAAACATCCCTAAGGTTGGCTTCAATGCCAGGTGTGCTGAGCCAACTGAGCCACCATCTTCATGAGTTTCCTCCAGGTACAGCCGGTACTTTTCGAGTAGCTGGCGCCGCGTCACCGGTTCGGGCTTTTCGCCGCCGTAAATCGTGCGGTCCACATCCCACAGCATGCAAGGTGTGTTCATTGCGCCTCGGCCAATCATGACACCGAGTAGGTTGGAAGGCACCGGGCAGGAGCCTTGCGAAGTCTCCCAGTCCCAAGCAGCTGCGTACAAGTCATCCGTCTCCCCTTCCATGCGTTGATTGGGGAATCCAAGTAGTGCTCGCGCATGTCCAACATCTGCTATTCCACCATTGATGCTGAAGTTGAGGTCCGGAAACTCTTTGCACAAATCCAAGATGCGAGGGTAGTGCAACGGAGGGATTGTGCGGTTCTGCGCCGGTGACAACCCATTCAGCCACGCCTTTCGAGCATGGATAATGAAGTGCTTGCACCCACCTTGCGCGACAGTGCGCACAAAGTCCCGAGTGAACTCTTGACTGTCAAAATCATCAACTCCCAAGCGGCACTTCACCGTCACTGGAATTTGCACAGAACGGCTCATTGCGTGGATGGCGTCACGCACAACTTCTTTGCGCTTCATCAAGGAGCAGCCGAACTCTCCTTTGTTCGCGACCCTGCAGGATGGGCAACCCACATTGAGGTTCACCTCATCGTAGCCATATCTCTGTGCCACTTCTGCAGCAGCAGCCAGTTTGCTCGGATCGCTTCCCCCTAGTTGGCACACAATAGGGTGCTCCACTTCGTGGAAGCCTAGGAAGCGATCGCATTTTGCTGGCTCAAGGTTGTGCAGAACCGTATCATCCACGACCATCTCAGTCCACAGTTGCGTCCGGCGAGTGAGCAAGCGAATGAAGTATCGGAAGTCACGGTATGTGACCTCCATCATCGGAGCTATCTGCAGCAAAGGCCGCTCATGAGGCCTGAGGCCCTCCATGACGTGACAAGCTGCTTTGCCTTCGGCGAATCAACATATTTCACAGATGTCAACTTCACGCGTGCGGCTTGCGACTGTCGTGGTGTATTTGTGCATTTGTGCTTTCTGCCTCTGGACTCGTACTGTAGCACAGCCTTCCTGCAATTACTCTACCAGCTTGCCATTAAGCCACGACGCCACAATGCAAGGCGCTGTCTCAAGCAAATTGCCTTGGTGGGAACCCTAAAGGTTGTGACTTGTCGTGACCATGCACTGAGGCAAATGCCAACTGAATGAGATCAAGCGAAAGGCCCGCAGAGCTCCCTGGAACCACAGAGGTCTCTCACAGCTTTCTGCACGACCTCTTCACATTTCCAACCTTCCATGGCGGAACGCACCGCTGTCTTTCCAATTGTCCCTCAGTTCAAAATCTGCCTGGTCCACTCTGGCCATCTGGGACCTTGCCAACGCATTTCTGCACATCAAGTGGTCAAGCTGGCAGACTTTTTGTCTTGAACCCACACCTTTTGCGCTCGCTAGCTCACTGGCACAGGCTATGCCATCTGTTCAGGGTGAGACTTCCAACATGAACGCGCATGGCAAACTTAATGCCCAGAGCTCGAGAACACAGTCATGGTCACCAGCGGTGCTCTTGGCACGGCTTTTTCTGCATCGGGTCGTGATTGGCCATCTCCTCAATGATCCAAAGTTAACCGAGGGTGCCATTGAGGAAGTCGTCCAAAGTGTCCTTAGCTATAATAGCCGGAACCTCACTTTGGACACCGCGAAAAAAAAAACAAGAAGCTGACGGTGGAAAGCCTGCCACTCGCCAAGCGTGCGGCACATGGGGGGTCAGCTTCAGCTTCCTTGCTCACCTGCGCTGTTAAAAATATAATGGAACCGAGAATGCATAGCTACAGCATATCAAAGCATGCTTCGGGCTAGCGTGCTTCGTGCCGCAAAGTCAAGCAGGGCGAGATGCCGTTGCAGCCATTGCAATCTCCAACGCGTGGCGCGCCTTGTCAGCACGCCGAAACGTCATCTCCTCAGCGTGTTCGCAGGAATGCTAATAGCTACAGGCTTATCAAGCCTTGACTGGCCGTTTGTCAAGCGCTTGGATCATCTCGTCACCAACCTTGCCATCCACGTCGAACAGCACATCCCGCAGTCCAACCTGCAGCCACCAATGAAACTCACTGCCAAGCAAAACTTGAGCCCAGCCTTGCGCTCTGCTGGGGCATCTTGGTTCCAGCGGTGTAGCGGGCCTGAGCCCCTGCCCTCCCAAGAGCCGTAAAAATCCGCCGACAGCAGGGTGGGGAGGGGTGTCCACGCACCACGTGGTGATTCTAAGACATTCCTTTCTTGAGAATGCTTGCATACGATGGGTGTCCCTCACACGGTTGTTAAAAACCTTAAGGTGTTCTTCTCCGCGGTCGCCAGCATCACCAGCATCCCTGGCATTGTCTGGATCACATTTTAGACAAAATGGCACAAAGGGTCAAATAAAAACCTTAAACTCTTAATGGCTTAAAATCTGAAAAAGCTGAAGAGCTTAGAATATGAACATCTGAGTGGCTTAACGAGTTAACATCTACATCTTCAAATTTTAACAGTCTTAGTGGCTTAACGTGTCAACATCTTAATGGCTTCAAGTCTAAACATTTGAATGGCCTAAAATCATTAGATCTTCAGGGCTTTAATTCTCAGTGGCTTAACGCGATAAAATCGGAATGGCTTAAAATCTTAAAATATTAGTGGCCTTAGCGTGCTAACATCTAAGTAGCTTGAAGTCTTAAAATAGTAATGGCTTACATTCATGAAATCGTCATGGCTTCAAACATTAGAAACGTAGTGCCTTAATGTGTTACAATCGTCATGTCTGAAAGTATGATCATCTTAATGGCCTAAAATTTGTAAATCGTAAGGGCTTGGATTTGAATCACAATGGCCTAAATTCTGAAAACAAAAGGAATGGCTGAAACACGAAATTCCTAATGCATCAAACTCTGAAAATCTGAATGGCGTACGATCTTGAAATATGAGTGGCTTAACGTGTTAAAAAATTGATGGCTTAAAGTCTTAAAATAGTAATGGCTTACAATCTTGAAAATTAATTGCTTCAAACCTTAGAATCTAAATGGAGTAAAATCTCAAAATCTTAGTGGTGTAATGAAAAATATGAATGGCTTAAAGTCTTATTAAAGTCTTAACATCTCAATGGCTTGAAATCTTCAGAGCTGAGTGACGACAAATATTATATTATTGGTGGCTTAAAATATTGAAAACTGAATGGCTTACATTAAAAGTCTAGTCTTAATGGATTAACGTCTAAACATCGTATGGCTAAACATCTTGGATGCCACGAGACACAAATAGAGACCCTTCATTTGACCCTCTGTGCTCCTCAAAGGGAAAATTCCACTGGCACAATTCCAATTGGGGAATTCCAAAGGGAACATTCCAATGGCACAATTCCAACAGGACAATTCTAATGGGAAAACCCCGATGGGAGAATTCCAATGGGAGAATTTGAATGGGATAATTCGAAAGGGACAATTGCAGTGAGACAATTCCATCGGATACTTTGAATGGGAGAATTTGAAAGGGAGAATTCCAAAGTATTCCAAAGGAAAAAGTCCAATGGGAGAATTCCCATGGGAGAAATTGAACCGTTCCAAATAGATAATTCCCATGGGAGAATTGGACAATTCCAAAGAGAGAATTGCAATGGGAGAAATCCCAGTTGGACAATGGGAAAATTGCACAGGGAAAAGTCCAAGGGAAACTTCCAGTTGGAGACTTCCAATGGGAGAATTCTACTCGGACAATTCCAAAGGGAGAATTCCAATGGGATCATTCGAAGGGAAAATACCCAAGGGAAACTTCCAATGGGACAATTCCCAACGGAAGCATGTAAGAAAGCAGGCCAATGTCAGCGGCCTGAGCCGGAGGCGTTCAAGTCTAGCTCACACTGGCCCTGCAAGCCAATGCCCGCCTCCCTCCTCCATTTCAATGATCATGAGTCCATCTTCTGAGTCTACAAAGTCGCCACCAAGTGCCTCTTCAGTCTCCAAGCCTGACAAGAAGATTCAGCAGCAAAGCCAACGGCAATTGAGTCCCGTGCCTAGCTCCACCGTGTATTCCTCCAAGGCGAGTTTGTCGAATGCAGTCGTAACACAGTCCCTGCCAGTCCTCCACTCCAAGGCTCGGCAGCTGCTCGACAGGAATGGCCACGGTTGAAAGCACCACTGGCCAATATGGATGAACGTATCGGTTCAGCCTGACACTCACGGGACCCAGCACCTATCTGCTCTGAAAAGGGAAATGGTCTGAAACTTGCCACTGCTAGCACTCTGTCTGCAAACCTCATGGGTCCCTGCAAAACTTCGAAGCACTGACAAGGTTCTTGACACCTGCGCACGTTCTGCCAGGTAGCGGCGTAAGCAATGATGACATGTTGGCCTCAATCAGTGCAAGCCCTGCAAACGTCAACTTCAGAGGGGCGAGCGCAAATGCCAGAAAGAAACAAAAAAGCTACACAGCCCATTCCGAAATCTGTGCACAAGGGAGCCTCCACATTTATCCAAAAGGTAGCTGATGGGCCTCAAAGCATTGATGCCTGCTGCGGCGCCTTCAATGCATCCCCAAGGCTGGACACCACATAGTCCCGAACTGCATCTTGGAAGAGATATCCTAAGTGCATAGTGCTTCAATTCAATGTTGATAGGCGCCGCAGTACCCCTCAACACTCTGGCAAATACCATAATGCCCGTTCATAATTCCTCAGAATGCCCTTGTTGCAATTGTTGGTTTCACCCGGCACCTGTAAGATTGCTACCTTGTGGAAACGGCTCGCTTTGTCTCAGAAACTCGTGGGGTGTGCTGATTCAACCTGTTGGCGCGTACAACCCCGCTTTGGTTGGCAGCTAAGCTGAAAGTGGGGCACGTCCACCCCCTCCCAAAGCGACCGCTAAAGTGACCTGACACCTAACAGCTGTAAACAAAGGCAAAGTGGCTTACACAATTTGCAAACGTGTGCAGCCCACCGCCTCAATTCCAATTCGCAGTGGTATGCAAGTGGCCAAGCAGCGATCATCAAGACTAGACTGCTAGCAAGCAAAACAAGGCCAAACGGCCGGCGTGCTTCTGGTGCCTGCTGGTGAGCTGCATCGCAGCACACATGTTGCAACCCAGGTTCCGATCGTGTTGTACAGCCAGCTAAAGCTTGACTCCTTGAAGCTCAGAACTAATTTGTCAATGACCTCAAGGCTTAGGCAATTCATATGTCACCAAGGCAGCTTGAGCACGTCAGCTCCATGAGGCGGTGGCCACTTCGCTGCAAGCAAGGGCGAGGCGCGGCACGTGGCATCCATTGACCTGACTCATGTTCAAGCAAACAAACAGATTAGCACTTGCCATACGCAGAATCCCCACCTTGGCGGATCGAAGCTCAAACCTAAGAGGGCGATGGGGCATTCTTGATTTCACATTAGCAAATCGACCTGCCAATATGTGTGAGCAGGATGCTGCAGATTTTGTTGGTCACCACTGGTCCCATCTTCAGCGCATACTATGCTGACATGCACGCGAGACACAGCTTCAGCCAAGAGGCGCCAGAACGATTTGAGCACCATGGGCAACTGTGTTCGCGGTGCCGTGCCCGCGAAGGTAAGGAAAATGTTTCTGCTCATACCTTGCACATCTTTCTGAAAGCTTCAAGATTCGTGTTGCTGAACTCCTCAGGCCCGGGCTGCCACTTCAATTCCTGGGTGAATGAGGTGGGTCCTACAATCCGCCAAAACACGCTTAGTGAAATAACTTCAGCTGGCCGAATGTCTAGCTTGAACCCCTAAGACACTCATGTACCTTTATAGGTGCGGACGGAGCAGAGAACCCCTAAGGTCCAAGGCCCACCCCTCCCAGCTCTGCCGGCTCCAAAAGAAAGAAATGGGAAAGAAATCGGTTGGACTTAATGGCTACCTATCACAAGCTCAGCGCCTGCAGGCGCATCATTGTTTATGCTCAAGTCGGATGCTGGCACCCACCGGCGAGTGCAGGGGAGCCTACTTCCAAGCGTACCGGCAAGGCAAAACAGCGTGCCATCGCGCTCCTGATTGCTCTTCCCAAGGCAGTTTTCTACCGCACCAAGCAAGGCGAGCCACGCTTCTCCACGCTTCCCCACGCTTTTCCAAGCTTCTCCACGCATCCCTCGGAGCTAAGCATCATATCCAGCCCATACGCGCGCGGGAACGCCCTCATTGCCCTCCAAGACGGTGACAACATCGCCCACGCGTGCCGAAAACTGGGGCCCTGAAACGAGCCGCTCAAAAGGAGCAGTGAGGGCACCACATGCCCTGCGGCGCGTCCTCCCCTTCCGCAAGTGGCAAGTCGCGCGGGCCAAGTCTTTCCCAGAAAATGAACAGTTGGACTACCACCAGGCGACCTGTGCACGCTAAACTTGCACCTCCATGGCCCTCCTGCATTTGTGCATGGTGACTGGCCCCGATTCACGCACAGTCACGCGATCAGATGAACAACTAAGCCAGCAGGCAAGCAAAATGCCGCCAAAGATCCGGAATATGAACCTCAACAGACTGACGCTAAACTGATATGCCGCAAAAAAGCAAAAAAGGCAGTTGAGAGGCCTTCATATCCTTTGCAGTGACCCGGAGGATCTCGTCTGCGCTTTGCGGCGTAGCCAGGCTGCCTGTCCAGAGGACCGTCCAGAGGCTTGGGGCAAATGAGGCAAAAAGGGCAAAGGGTGGCTGGGAGATCACAAAAGGCATGAGTAAGAGTGAACCAGTATGAAACGATGATGTAAATAAAGCGGGGACAAGCGGCCGCTAACCGTTCACGGGCCCGACGGGCCCGACGGGCCCGACGGGCCTGACGGGCCTGACGGGCCTGGCGGGCCTGACGGGCCTGACGGGCCCAACGGCTTCAGGGGCTTGACGGTTTTGACAGGCCCGTGGATAGAACGATAGACAGATGCATCGATAGACAAGTGATAGATATTTTAATGCTTTGACAGACATGTAGATAAATAGGAGAGATAGATAAATAGATGGATGGATAGACAGAAAGATAGATAGATGGATGGATAGATGGATAGATAGATAGATGGATAGAAAGAAAGATAGATAGAAAGGCAAACAGATGGATGGGACTAGGGTATCTTGGGTACATGGTAGATATCTTAGATACATAAAGCGGTAGATGGACAGAGACAGATAGACGAAGCTGAAGAAGAGAAAGCTAGAAAGAAATGAAGATGGGCAGGTAGATGGGCAGATAGATGGATAGATAGATAGGTAGACTGATACACACCTAGAGAGAGGTGTGCAATAAAACGGTATGAAAGATATGTAGATAGAAGGATGGCAAGATAGAGACAGAGGGAATGGAGCGATAGATCGACTAGAGTACATTAGAACAGATAACTAGGTAGGCAGGTTGGCAAATGGATTAGATTAGGTTGGATTGGGTCAGAGCAGATTGGATCAAACAAATATGTTGGGACATGCACAGATGCGTTGTCGGACAGGCGGATGGACAAACAAACGAATAGACAGGTAGATGAACAGATGCATAAAGATGAATGGGCAGACAGATGGCTAGATAGAAAGATGAGTAGGCCAACAGGGCATGTAGGTGGCTTCTATCAGTGTCGCTAGCATAACCAGGGCTCGCGTTTGAAGCATCTCTTCAAGCGCCTTTTTTCCCAGAAGCATCTCTGGCGCGATGGGTGAACGGGGCCGTGCTGGTGGGATGTGGACCCGAGTTTTGGCAGGCGGCCGTGCTGGTGGGTTTTGCAGGGCATTGGCTCCTGGGATGGGAGCGTTCGTGGGCGTGAGCTCGAGAGAAAACTTAGTGGGCTCGTTGGACAGATCTTGCTTCGTGCCTGGCGTGGGTTGTCAGCCAACGGCAGCCTCGTGTCAAGATCAACTGCTTCGAAACCTTCAATTTCCCATGGGTATGACTGCATCAAATTAATAGCCTCCTCTTTCGTCGGCCTTGACGGGCCCGACGAGCTTCACGGGCCCGGCGGGCTCGGGCCCAACGGGCCCGACGGGCCTGAGGGGCCCGACAGGCCCGACGGGCCCGAACAGTGAGAGGACATTGGCCAAAGCGGGACAAGCGAGCGGGCAGTGATGCAACAAACAACTAAGAAACAGGAATGCTTGAGGAAAGCAAGGCAGGGAATGACACGGAAGGGGTCAGACGCACGTGATTTGCCCCATAAAAAGTGGATCAATCTTCTGGTGCCTTCCGTTTGAAAGTCCAACTTTTGAAAGTTCCAGAAAGGAAAACGGCTCGGAATCCCAGCTTCACAGCCGTCTTGTCACCATTCCAATGGCAGATCTGGCTCCAAAGTGTCGAAACCGAGACAGAAACGATGAAGAATGACACATGGAATCGGCTCGGCAAAGGTCTAGCAAATTTTATAACTCTGCGCAATCTATTTGTTGTACATGTTTGGCTTGCCCCCATTTTCCGATTGCCCTTGCCCAACGGCCTGCCTGCAGTCGAGCTCTCTTGCGTGCTTGGTGCGCTTGCTGAGCCTGTCTCACCGTGCCCACCTTAAACTGGCACATCGCACTCGCCTAAATGCAAGTCTTCCTTGTGAGGAGACCGAGCTGCTCTCAGCTTCCTCTTGAAAACACTTGACTACACTGGGGGCGCAGCTTGGCGACTTCAGGTCTATTCTGAACCCTTCCTGCGCACGGACACAGTGTTCACATGCTCAGTCGACATGTTTGCTGGTGCTCCTTCTGCACAGAGCACGACGACAAGTCAATGTTGTCAATGCAGTAATAATAGTCAGGTCTTGGCGGACGGGTGAGTACACTAAAGCCACAACTCTGCCCCGCGCTACTTGCACCATTTGCACCAAGCGTCGCGTCAGGGCCACTTTCAATCCTGGCCACCGGAAAAGGCACCCCGCATGCTTCTTGCGGTGGGTCACAAAGGCAACGTGGTCATCAGGACTGACGAAGGCTGGCCTTGGCACCTTGATGATGTGCAGCTGTTCAGACAGAAAGTCTGAACACGCCTCCTTGGCTGAGCCAAGCCTCATGGGCCCCCTCTAGGCTCAACTCTGGACGCAGGCAAGTGTCAGACACGGTCTTCATGAGCTCGTCACCTTGGCTATGAAATGCTTGAAGAGCAGAGCGCTTCTTCCTTAAATTGATCTCCACCGGGTACATTGCCAGCAAGGAACGCTTGCCATCATTGTTGGCAACCTCGGGACACACCGCTGGCATTAAAGTGGTTTACTCAAAACCTGCAAACAACCAACAGGGCGGCCGCACCCATGTCTGGGACTACCCTTCATCTACCCGGATTTGATGGGGCTCAGCCGGTACTCATAACACATACCTGTGCGCTTTTGCATGGCGAGCATATTCTTGAAGCTGTGCACCCTTTGCGGCTGCGAAACAAGTTGGCTTCCCCATTGCTGCCAGTCATTTGCTTGAGATGCCTGGCACTTCTTTTGTTTGCATCCTATCCACATGCTTCCACATGCGCCCCACAGCACCACAGGACCCGGCTGACGCCCAACGCCTCGATTGAGGCGAGCCATTTCTTCAATGCATCCGGGTCTTCTTCAGCGGATGCCAGCAATGCGCGGCCACTCTCCAGCAGCTGTCCTAGCAGGCCATGGGCCAAAATCCGGTACCCCAGTGAACATAAAATAGACCAAAATGAACGGTGCACCTACCCCAAAATGGTACCATTGGTTTTGACCCACAGCCAACTAGCAACTGCTAGCAAAGCTACAACTCAAAGAACGCACATTCTCGCACTGATGCATCAAAGGCGCTGCTGTTCTTGGTCTCGCTGCAATTCTCCAGGTCCTTGATATAGCCACTGGCCTGCTCCAGAAGACCCAGCTTGGTGAGGTTCAAGGCTTTCTTCTGCGCTTCTCGGAGGAACTCCGTGCCGGTGTCCGACTCGATGTACTTCTGGCCCTTCTCGATGAGCCCATCCAATTTGAGAACACCATTCCTCAGTCCAATGGGCCTATCAAGGCTCACCTTTGCGGGCCACGAAAAATTGGAAGAAGGAGAAACCCAAAGGTCCAGAAGGTTGGCTTGCAGGTGAGATTCTCGAAGGTCAAGCCCAAGCCTTTGGCCCCCGTTGCCAGCAGCTCTTGGCACTGCAGTGTCCAAGTGCTGGTGTCGGAAAAGTCGAGGGATGTGAGAAGACCTCAGTCCCCCTGACCCCTTCCAGGTGTGCTGGCCACAAATATGTATGGAGCCGATACATCCGACACCGAAAGCTGAGCAGCCTTGTAGTGTTTCGGGATCTTCTTGCGCCGCCGCTAGCGTCTTCTGGCCCCAAGCTATGAGCGCATCACCTTGCTCGCTCCCTTTCAACTCCTGCAAGAAGTCCTTGGCCTGAGGGCACGAAACCAAGTCGCAAGGATTGGCCGCGCGTGCAAAACACACATGTTTGACCAATGCGTGCCTGCGCATTGAGACTAGTTCCTTTCGCTTGGGCATTCAGAACAGCCTCAGTGCGAGCTGGCGGCAAAGCGCACGCGCGAAGTGGGACCTAAGGCGCCGTCCAGCAAGCTGAGTGCCTGCGACTGGGCAGTGCGAAGAACTTCCCGGCCTTCCTGCCAAACGAAAGCCACATGCCGCGCGCTGAGGAAAGCACCAGCTGGGAATGTCGAGGTCCTCTGTTTTCAAAAGGTCTTGTCCCTTTGACAAGACTTGCTCCAGGGGTACTCCTCCTTCATCATCCAGGGTGATGCCAGCGGCACGCAGGTGGTCCCGTGTTGCCTGCCCAAAGCGAAGTGTTCCTCTCACTGCGAATAGGCGTTTCACAATCTCAAAGCCACAAGCCTCGCTGTAGAGAATCTCAAGGCACTGTTCCTTTGCCGTACCTCATTACTTCCACAAGCCATGCCAAGTGTCCGCGACACCTTTGCATGTTGCGCACCAATGGAACATGAGACAGGACCGCCAAGCCACGGAGGCGAGCAGAGCTCGTCGAAAGCATGTCCGCCCCCAAATCGGTCAAGCTTGATATGTTGAAAGACGACAGGCAGTTTCGCAGTCGCTCCTTGCAGCATTTCATGAAGCGGTACTCTTCATGAGCGAGCCCGTAAGCCATGCCATAGAATGACTCCAAGGCGCTGGGTCGGATTCAGCAGCTCTGATCTGTTCCCGACTCCAAGTGAGCAATTTTGCAGCCACGCCACTCTTCTCCAGTTGCGCGAGGATCTGACAGTGCTGGATAGTGTTCATTGAAACTGCTTCTCAATATCATTCCATGCTTGCATGTCAGCCACTGCCTGCTTCGATGACTGAGACTGCGGGGACTCCTGCAAAATACAAAGCCAACTCTCAAGGAAACAAACAACTCCATGTCCCTGGAAAATGTGCGGTTCTACCAGGACATCTGTCAAAACAAATGAACACTTCGGACATTCGGTCTTCATCGTGTGCAGCCAGTGCCAGCATAGGCAGCATCGTCATAAGTTGTTCTTGAGCACGCCTCGCAGAAATCAGTCTCCAATGTCGCAAACAGGACGCTGAGATTCCGAGACAGCCGCTATGATATGCTACTCCGGAAAGGAGCTCGGTCAAAATATATTTCGGTGGTTGTGGTGCTTTGACCCTGAGACCCTGGTTAGGCATGCAAATTGATGAATGGGGAAAAGCGAAAGTTGAGACCTTCCTTCAATGGCTGCCTGGCCTGAGCAACTCGCGGCCTTCTTCCGTGTGAAGAAGCTGCGGGCTTGATTTCAAGACCGTTTCCAGAGGAACCTTCCTCACAGCGGGTTGCAAAGTGCAAGAGTGCCCGCCACTAAGCAGTGCTGCCAGGCATCTCAAATCTGTCAGGTTCCACTCCCAGTGCTGCCAGTTGCTGCTTGGTGTAGCCGCCGATGTGATCATGCAAGTCGATCAGAACCTTTGGCCCCCGGCCCCTGAAATCGGATAACAAAGAAGCGCCGTACCTCAAGAAATCTTGAGTTTCGGAGCTGACTTTCAGGAAGTGTGGGGGAGGCGCCTCAGTCTCAACGGGGTACATCAGCCACGTGCCGACCGAAGGAAGCTTGGCCCAAGAGTTGTCCAACTCTTTTGCCGACTCCAGGGCTGCCCCAAGACTTTCCACATAGCCTGCAATATAATGTGGGCGGAGAACGTGCTCTGCGATGCCTTCACTCAAACCCTCCTTCGCGAGCACTGCAACTTCCATTCCAGCAATGATTGTATACAGCTTGCTGCTAGTTGACGGGTCCAAAATCAGACACGGGCACACATGCTGATAGTCAGAAGCCTTCATAGCACTCTGCATCGACGACGAGAGAGCGGCCAAGAGAGAGCTTACTCTCTTGCTGTTGTCGTAGGGGTCTTGCTTGTTTGCAGGCAAGCTCGAGGGCAGGTCCATCTTGTTAATGTACCGAGCCATTCGGGGCACTGCTTCATAGCAATCGTTGGCGAATTCTGCGTTGCCAATGCGCGGACTTCCAAAAGTTACGCAGCGAATTTCCCAGACATGACCAGCACTCTGAGACAGATCGTACGCAAACAAAGTAGCTATTGCACCGCCAAGACTATGCCCACTCACTCGAACCAGCACTGTTGCGCCCGCTTGTATTTCAAGACCAGCTAGGTCATCAAAAATCTTCTTCAGGAGCTCTTCCCGGAACGTCAAATAAGCTGTCTGATACCCAAGGTGCACCTTTCCCTTTTGCCGGCCCACAGCCGTGGGCACAAGGTAGGTTGTGACATTGGTCATCCAATTTGCTATGCGATAGGTACCACGAAAAGAAACTTCCACGACCGCAGCATAAGACTCTGACAACGGTTCTGACTCGTGCAAAAGCCGAACCCGGCCAACCAACCTATTTGCAGCATTCTCTTTAAAGATTTTGGTCAGCTCAGGCGGAGAGCTTTCGAGAACCCAGTAGCCAGAAACATAGTCTACATGGGATAGGATGTAGTGGAGTTCCGGCCGGATGCAATCCTGGAGAAACTCCTCAAACTGAGCATCGGCCTCGTCCAGGTCACCTCATGCAAACAACCCAGATTGAGACTTCAAATGCTACAGCAACCAAAGAAACTGAGTCCAAGATGCAATATGCCAAATTGCACCGCCACAACTCCTGCTGCACATACTTTGGTGCCGACAGCAGTTGTTGGCAGTAGTCTGCAGCCATCTTTAGCCCAAGTGCTCTCTCAGTTTCATCCCCGACTCCAACCTGCAAGGCTTTGTCGCTGTTGTTGACCACATCACAAAGACGCGCCCTCGCGCCTTGACACTCAGAGGCTCGCGGGCTTGAAGCTAGGGCTGGAAGAAGGCAACACTCCCACCAATAGACTAGGGTTTGAGCCAAATGCCTCAAACTGCATTCAAAGACCACTCTCATATTCCCCCGGCATGCTCTGCCCCTTTGCTCATGCCACACGTCTCAAGAGACTGGCTGGCAATGGCCGCGGAGGGGGGCCGGCTGCATGGCGCATTTCCTGTCACAAACCGCGCTCAAAAAATAGCACCGCAACGGCACCGCAACAGCGTCGGCAATCCACCGCGTGACAAGCAAAAAAAACCCACAACCTCTCTTCCAGGCAGCCTGCCTCAAGCAGCCCAGGTCACTCTCACCCTCTGCTTGATGCCGAAATTTGCCGGGCGGCTTGCAAGAAAACTCGATGGCCCAGGTGACAAAAGCCAACAAGGCTGTTCCTGGGAGTTGCCCTTGTGCTCTCCTTGTAATTGCCTCTTTGCGGATGAGTTTCGGTTGAGGTGTTTTTATTTACTAGCCCTGGCTTTTTACTAGGCCCGGCTCGGCACAAGCTGGGGGTGGGTGGCCGCATCGCCAGCATTTCCGGTTTCTTGTCACGGCTGCGTATGGGGCATGACTTGATGCTCGGGATAGCCGGCCGCATCGCCAGCATTACTGGCCTCACTCGGACGAGAGCTGCCTATTGGCTTTGATTTGGTGGCAGTTCAGGGTTGATCGGGGCTGGTTTGGGGTGAGTGTTGGGCTTGCTGAGATATTAATGCGGGCGGGTCTTGGGTTTGTTTGGGGTTCGTTTATCTCTAGCACGAATCAGCCCCAACCAAGCCAAAACCGACCCAAAGTCAACCTGAAACCCTCCCAACCGCATCCTGCATATCGGCCCTTTGCTGAGGCTAAATGAACCCAAGACCCGCCCGCATTAATATCTCAGCAAGCCCAACACTCACCCCAAACCAGCCCCAATCAACCCTGAACTGCCACCAAATCAAAGCCAATAGGCAGCTCTCGTCCGAGTGAGGCCGGTAATGCTGGCGATGCGGCCGGCTATCCCGAGCAGCAAGTCATGCCCCATACGCAGCCGTCACAAGAAACCGGAAATGCTGGGGATGCGGCCGCCCAGCTGACTAACCAACCAACCAACCAACCAACCAACCAACCAACCAACCAACCAACCAACCAACCAACCAACCAGTCTCCGAGCCGGGGTTAAGCCCCGAGCCGGGGCTAGTAAAAAAAAAAAAACACCGGTTCCATGAGATTCATTAAACAAAAATATGCTCACATACTTGTCTGGATCGAGTGGCTTTCCCAAAATGCACCGCTTCAAAAACCAGAAGCAACCTGCCCACCTCCACTCGTAGCACGAAAAGCTGCAACATTCCTGGCTCACCCGGCTTACCACCGAAGCCGGAATCATGCGGCGTGCTGCTTCCGACTGCTGTAGGTTGGCTTGGAAGACTTTTCTCGCCACCCTGCAGATGTCTGAATTTGGACCAACTTTGTCACAAGTGAAACGTGAAACTCTGTGAAATCGTGAAACGTGCGCTCAGTGATCAAAAGGCCTAGTCCAACGCTTCCTGGCATCCAGACTGGCCACGAGTCCCATGCCAAGCGCAATTTTGTTCATGTTGTCCGGGGGAAAGCCTCAAACCCATCTATCACAGCGGCTAACCGGCTGACCTGTGCCCGGCTCTGGTAGATCTCCTGCATTTCAGCGCGCTGCCTGGGATGCGGCATACCGCTCCGGCATGCATGTTGTCAGAAGCAAAATGAAGAGGGCAGCTGAGCGGTCAACTTGTCCAGGTACTCCAAGATGGGGGCCAAGAGCTTTGGATCATTCCTTGCTTAGAGTTCGGCCGAGTCACAGAGATTGCCGTGGCTTCGTGTTCGAGAAAAGCCCCGCTGAGCCGACCGCGAAAGCCGCAGTCTCACCGTGCCGCCAACTTTGACCTGGCATGCGAACCAGATGTCTAGCATGAATCTGCACAGGCACTTGTTTAGACCCTCCCTTCAGCCGGTGTTGAACAAGTGGTGCTTCTGTGCTTGTCACCCCGGCTCCACGGTCCCACATGGCACAAGCTGCATGGGAATCTTCCGCAATCCTCGCCTCACGAAGAATGCGCTGTATGTCATACTTGAGCTGCGCTGTCAACCTGGGCGGGCGGGCGAGGCCTCTGCTCCTCCCTCAATTTTGGACGCTGAGGACACAACGAGTAGGCCTCATGTCTTCCAACCTGGGAAGTGAGAAACTGCGGCATCTCCCGATTTCATGGACCAAGTACGGTGCAGTGCGGCCGCACTCATCTTGAGTCTCAATGCAGTCTACGCCTCATCTCATAGCTGATGCATATGCGACAGCCCGCAGTCTGGGCGCCGACAGGCAGGCTCATCTGGCTCCAGGCGGCATTCCAGCACTACCTCAGTGACCCGAACACTGGCATTAACCGAGCCAGGCATGCAACCCTTCTTGGAGCCGTGCCCGCACAATGGAGAACCAATCAGGGCATCTCTGGAGCGCAGAGTCTACTGCATTGCCTGGTGCGGTAGGCATCCTAACGAACGTAGCCGTACATGCTGCACAGAACTCGCATTCTGAGAGCTGTGCTAGGAATCTTCAACGATCTTATGAGGGTAGGATCCTTTGCCAAACTGGCTGTGTGAATAGCGCGAAGTGAATGCACACAACGGGATGGCCAAAGGCCATGGCATGCAACGCTGTGCAAGCATATCACCCTCTCCTCCTGTGAGTTGGCTGCAGCTTTGTTGCATGCAATTTCTGCGTCCTGGCAAGACGTCAATTCATTGTTATGTTGGCTCTGGCTTCTTCTGTTTTTGCCCAATGCGTTGATGCCCGCTTGAAGACGTCCCCATGTCCAAGTCAACTGCCAGCCTGTACCTCTGTTAAAGGGCCTGCAAGGTTGAAGTCGAATACATAGAAAGGCATCCCTCGCACCGTCGCCCCCCCTGATGGAAGACATCCCCCGCCCCCCGCCCCAAGAAGAAAAAAACAAATCTGGAAACAAAAAACAAACGACATGACTCCAAATTGTCAAAGAGCATCTTGAGCATTGCCATTTCAAATTTCTCACAACAAACAGCCGGAAGCAAATAGCTCGCAAAGGGTTCCCTTGCCCTCAAGGCCGGCCATCCCCGATTAGCCCCACCCCGCCCCCCACAAATATCATGGCACTGGCGGGTATTCATTCCCATCGAATGCCTGGCTGCGCAAGTGCATTGGCGCACGCCTGCCGCGAAGCAGCTCTGAGCACATGAGAACCAGTGTCTCTTGAGCGCCGAGCTCAAAGACCCACATTTCTCGTACACCAAACCGCAGTACCTGCGATTTTGCACAAAGCATTCAAACTGGACGGGAAGCGGCGCAAAACAATGCACTAACGTAAACGTCGCGAATGCTCAAGAAGCCCATGGTCACGCTTCCAGTCTCCAGGGCAGTACCTACATGCTGACAACAAGCAAAACGCAATTTCTGTTTTGGCATGGAACCTTCAAGACGAATATGCCAAACGCAGATGCGGAGCCCGTTGCTGGCCTAACATTGGATCGACGGCCTCGCCATCCACGGTTGTTCCACCGCCACCGTGGCCACCGCCGGGGCCCATTCCAGCACCCCCCTCTGCACCCTGCATTTGGGTCGAGAAATCAAGCCGCGAAACGTTGCAAAGCGCAAGTGTCAGACTTTCAGCCTTCAAAACCTGCAAATAGCTACTTGCTTTACTGCGCCTCGTCATATATCCGCGCAAGCCAAGCGTTTGGATCAGGCCTTAGGGCCCATGCGGGATTCATTCACAATCGATCATCTTAGTGACAGCCGCATGCTCAACGGCTTTTTCTCAACCCTGCTGATCTTGGTGAGCCCTGTTTGCTGCAACACGGGCGCCGCTTTCGCAAAAAGATCTCGAGGCTCAGCCGGCTTCGGTGAATGCCACTTTCACACTCCCAATTTTCGGCTGAGCTGTCTGCTGGTTTGGCCAGGAAACACGCTCACGCAAATGCAGCCGATCTCGTGGCCATGTGCGCAAGTTTCACGCTCGGCTGTTTCAGCTGCTTCGTTAGTCCGTCTGCCCACATGTTCTCGGTAGGCGTCCAGCGGATGGACTTCTTATTCACGAATTCCTGGATGTTCCTGAGGTCCACCATGGTGGGCTTCTCCCAGGTCCGTGCATTCTGGGCGCAAATTGCGTTGTAGAGGGCCTTGCAGTCCGTGACCTGGAGCTGTGGCAGGCGGAAGGTCGTGCGACGGGCAGGCTCTACCTTCAGGAGCTTGGACAAGGTGAGGTTGGTGTAGTAGGCCATCGTCGCATGAACACGCTGCTGCGAGTGTACGTCTGCACACCCGTGCTGACCGGTGTGACCGCCAGGCGATCACGTTGCCAGCGGCGATGGTCTCCGTGCGCAGCTCTTTCTGGCTGCCCAATTCGAACGGGTCGGTGAGCTCCTTCTTGTCGTAGTCCTGGGCGCAGGTCACGAGGAAATCGCCAACACAAAAGTGGGCGATGTTTCCGCATGAATCCGGAATCAATCTCGGTAGTTGCCGGGTGGATTGCCTGGCCACGTCATTTGGCCACGCTGGCCGACATTGAGCACTGGTTGGACCATGAACCGTCGCCGTTGCGTTTCCGAGCTGCAGTCAGAGCAGGCCGACGCACAAAGAGGGCACTTCAAGCCCCAGTGCCAGCCCCCAGCTGACACTTCTCCAAGTATTGGCCCCTGGTGTTCCCGACAGCTGGTCGGTGTTGGCAGTTGAGGGTGGCGCCAACTTAGAGAGGATGCGGGCTGCAGGCTAAGGGACAAAGCCATGTCATCTGGCTGTTGAAATCTCTTTGAAAGTGGATGCAAGTGTCAAATTCAAACGGGTTACGTTCCCTATCTAACTCCATGTGACTTTAAATAAGTCCAAATTGAGCTAGGCTAAGAACAGGAAAGTGCTTTAATCAACGTGGACCTGCCATGCAGCAACATGCGGCATGTTTCAGCGCCTGCCAAATCATTGTTCCTTTCGACGCAAAGTCAAAAAGTGCATGTCGTCGTTCTCCTCAAATAATGAAACAGACTAAAGTGGTTGAACAACTTCTGTTTTTTGGGGCTGGATCCAAGCTGCAAGAAACTTATTTGTTCAATCTTGCTTTAGGCCTGAGTAAGCAGGGAAATATTGGATGTTGGAATATATATATATATATACATATGTATATGCATAGGTGTATGCATAGGTGCATGTAGATATGTGCATGTCTATGTTTATACGTGTGCATAATATATGTATATCAACCTACGTGCTTATACCAAGCGTATGTGCACGTGAATTCATATACATATAACATGTATAACATATATATATATAATAAGTTCTCTGTGTGTGTGTGTGTGCGGGTGTGTCTACACATGCAAGATGGAAAGAAGGAATGAAGAAATGAAGGAATGGAGGAATGAAGCAAGGAAGGAATGAACAAAGGAATGAATGAATGGACGAATGAATGTATATGCATGTATGTGTGTGTATGTGCGTATGTGTGTGTGTGTATGTCTGCGTTTGTGTGTATGGTTGTATGCGTGTATGTGAATGATTGGTGTGTATGTATGTCTCTCTATCTCGCTGCCTGCCTGCCTGCCTGCCTGCCTGCTTGCCTGCCTGCTGCCTGCCTGCATGTATGTATGATTATGTATGCATGCATGCATGCATGCATGCATGCATGCATGCATGCATGCATGCATGTATGTATGTGTATGTATGTCATGTAACGTAATGCAATACAATGTAATGTCATTTAATGCAATGTCATGTAGTGTAATGTGATGTATGTATATGTGTACCTGGGTGAGGCAGCGACCCCCGCCAGCACTTGATGACAGCATGGAGCCTAGACACCTCAGCTTGCAAACGAGGGTTTCTTCAGACTTGCAGCTCCGCCCGTTGCCTTGAACCGCACTTGGCATAAGAACTGTTGATCTGTTTGTTCACATCTGTGCCATGAGGGCTGGGCATCGCAGTTGCCGGGCGAGTCCAAAACAAGATCGATCTGCCAAAGAGCGCACAACGCAAGCTCCATAAGCATGAGCTGGCTGTAGTGCAAACACGCGAAGTAGTGCCAAACAATTTCAAGCAAGCCTACCTTATCTTCAAGCATTCTCCGACTTCGGCCTTGGCACACAGCCGCACGGGACGCGCAACTGAATTGAGCACAAGCCGAGCCGGCTGCCTATCCTTGTGTAGGCAACTAGCCGGTGCCTAGCCAATCCCAGCACGGCCATGAATTTTGCCAGGATGAAGAACAGCAGTTCGCAAAGCTGGGTAACTGGCGTTCGTCCTGTGTCCATGCCTTCGAGCGCACAAGGCAATGACACATTGCCGACACTGAGTCACTTTGCAAATGTGACGTCCAGCGCTTCCCTCAGACTGTGCATCGCACTCCGCAACAGGAAGGGCGCAGGCTCGCGATCCTGCGCGGCGCAAACATTGCACAACACGTTTTGCTCAGCTGACTGCTCATGGGGAAATGCTGGCAAGGCACTCGTGGGCCTGGCCAGCAAACACTCAGCAAATACTCTTGGATTTTGCACGGAGTGGTACATGGGAATTAACAAGTGCGTGGGGGCCTACGTGCCCAGCAGGATCGAAGACTTCTTCGTCATCATCCGGCACCGTGATGTCTACCCGCACGTGCCTGAGACGAGATTTGCCCACAGGCCAGCCAGCCGGCAGCAGGTCTCCGGCAAACTGCCCTCACCTATGCTGATCTCGCCTGCCAAGGCAGGACATCGCCCCCTCCATCAGAAAGCCGCCCTTTGGCTCTCATTGCAGTCGTGCCTTCAAATCCGTCTGGATGAAAGTCAGCACTCTGCAGAAGAGCTTGTCCAAGATTATCGTCATCATCTGGGCATCCGACTCGACTAGTCGGCTCGTGAGATCATCACAGCCACCTTTCTCGTCGTAATCCAGGACTTGAAGCTTCAGAGCATCTCCAGGTTCATATCCAATCATCTCCTCCTTCGCACGAGTCTCTATTCCAAGCTGCAAAGACACCTAAACCATCACCACCGTGAAGCAAGAATGAACATACTGGCTGCAAAGGAATGTGGCAACAAGGCACCTCTTCATCCCAGGTTGGATTGAGCTCCTCACAATGCATGGCTGCCCGTCTCAAGTTATCTTCTTATTTCTTTTCCACGCCTTGAACATCACGCGCGTTTTCCAGGCTGAGTGCTTCTTGTGCGGTAAGCTTACCTACAGCTGCAGCCGGCACCGTATCCTTGCCCGACAGTCCTCTGGGCTGCTGACAACGCAGTACGGGTCCGACTTGCCACCAAATAGGCTCCAATCAGCAGAGCGTAGACCCTGTGAAAGGTCATGAAAGAAAGCGCAAACTTGGCTCTCGCCAGGAAAACCTTGCGCCAGCCAATCCCGACAGCACCTCTCTCCCCGCCTCCGCTTTGTATACCGTCACGAAGCACCGAGTGTCGGGGGATGGCGTCTCGATCAGCCTGTGATGTAGGGCTGCAGCACATGACAGGATTCCGGAGCCGTCTAAGACGTTGGCTCAGGGAAAACCTGCGCGGCCCCCTCTCACTCTCTCCCTCTCTCTCTCTCTCTCTCTCTCTCTCTCTCTCTCTCTCTCTCTCTCTCTGCAAAAGCGCTCGCAACCAAGTGCCCACATTGAGCCAGAACAGCTGTCACAAACTGTCTGCCGCACCTTCAAGCGCAAGGTGGCAACCTTGCCATCTTTTCGAGCTGGATCTACCAATTCCTTATTCCACTATCTGTCTTGCGGCCAGCTTCAGGTTGCCGCTGCTTCGTGATCAATTCTGAATTGGGAGGTGCTGTGCCTGCTAAGGCTTGGGCAAGATTGTCGTCAATTCCACCTGGATAGATCCTGAGAGGCCAGAGTCATCCCATGCGACAGTGCACAAAGCTCTTGGCAGCCGGGCTGATCAAATGTCAGCTCCAGGTTTCCTTTGTTTGTCGCTGGCACGTGAAAGCAACTTCAGCTTCCAAGGGTGGCGCCAAGAAGGTCGTCTGACCTGCGAAAAAATGCAACAGCGAGGTGTTGTTTTTGTCGCGGCATAGGTCCATCAGACCACCAGGCTACCATTCGCACATGCCGCCGCTTGCGGCAACTAGGGGACAGGCCCAATTGCATCATAGTCGAACACTTGGAAGTCCAGCGTGTCCGTCATTTTCTCGAGCGTGGTCCAAGTGGACATGATTTCAAGTGCAGGCTAAGGCCAAAACCATGCATGGCATCTCACACTCAAACTTCCAGGTTGGGTCCAACCTAAGCTGGAACAGGATCACGTGAGATGCGACCGGACCCGCTCGAAATGCACAAGGGGGCCTTCGCTCCTTTTTCAGCCTCTTTTCCCAATCTCGCATAATGTACCCGATGGCGCTCTTCGTTGACGGCCACGCACCAGCGCAGCCCAGGAAGCGATCGGCTCCTTTGCATTTAAAAAAAAAAAAGCGCTGCAACCAACTATGGAAAAGTACTCATTGCAGCGTCTTTCCAGGAACTCTCAGCCCAGTGCAGCTGAGCATCATTGGTATCAACAAAGCTGTACCTCATTTCTTTGTTGGCTGGCCTTCCTTCAAGCGCTTCATGGCCTCCCCTGGCACAAGAGCGCGCCATCTCCCAAGCACCAAGCACTGACCTCAAACAATCTAGTCAACCAAAACGCCTGGCTGCCCCTTCCTCATCTGCAGGTACGCCATCCTAGGCTTTTCAAGCATGCGGAGACTTGCTAAATCTCCCAACCACCAGCTGCCAACTGCCAACAAAACAATCCTGTCTCAATTTGCAAACGAGGCTTCCAACGCGCATATGGAAAAAGGCTCCCGGGATTGCTAGCTTCCAGTTCAAAATTGGGGCAAAAAAAAATGGCGCAACGTGGCCTAGCCCTTGATACAATACAACGCCCCATGCTCTCATCCGCCTAACTGGGGTCGGGCAACATGCTGGACCAACCCTCCAAGAGCAAAGCTCGCCATCCTTTGACTTGGATAAAGAAACATCCCTGGTTCATTACAAGGGAAGGGTGCCACCTTTTGGCGGGACTATGAGTAGGACGGGCTTATTACTCTGGGGTCAACATGATTTGCCTTTTTGGCGGGCCCTCAATGTCCAACTTCGTTTCAAGCTGAAAGAGACACGCCTAACGAGCTCATTTCCTTCGGACATCATCAGGGGTCAAGGGTTGGCAGTTGCCCCTTCCCCAAAACCTTTTTCAGACGCAATCGGACGCACAACTCCTCTCGGCACGTCCCGCCTTTTAAACATTCAAGGCACGTTCGAAGCGGGAGGAGAGCCCGTGGCTGAATCTGCAGCGCCTTCTCACAAGCCCTCTGCGCTTCCTGCACGCGTTCAAGGCCTCGAAGCGCCCACTTGGGAATCAATAATATGCATGTACGTATATTTATGTAATATACGTATATGCATGTATGTGTACATATGTGTATATATGCGTGTCTGTGTGTGTGCGCCTGCGCGCGTGTGTCTGCGCGCGTGTCTCTCTGTGTGTGTGTGTGTGTGTCTCTGTGCGCGTGTGTCTGTGTGCGCGTCTCTGTGTGTGTGTGTGTGTCTCTGCGGCGTGTGTCTGTGTGTGTGCCTGCGTGCGTAAGTCAGTGTGAGTCTGTCTGCGCGTGTCTGTGTGTGTGTGTGTGTCTGTGTGTGTCTGTGCGCGCGTGTGTTTGTGTGATTCTATGTTTCTGTCAGTGTTTGCGTGTGTTTGTTTGTGTTTGTGGGCGCGTGACTGTGTGCGGCATTTGTGCGTGTGCTTCTGTGTGTGTGTGTGTGTGTGTTTTCCTCTTTTTGTGTGTGTGTGTGTGCGCGTGGTCGTGTTTAAGCGATGGTTGAGTACGTGCGCGCGCGTTTGCGTGCGAACGTGTGTGTGTGTGTGTGTGTGTGCGCGCGCGCGTGTGTCCGCGCTCGTGTGTTCGCGCTTGCGTGTGCAAGCGCGCGTGCGTGCGCGTATGCGTGTGCATTCACATGTCTGCGCGTGCGTGTGCGCGTGCGCGTGCGCGCGTGTGCGCGCGCGTGTGCTGGTGCATGTACGTGTGTGCGCGTGTGTGCGCGCGCGTGGCGTTTGCATGTGTGTGTGTGTGTGCGTTTGTGCTTGTTTGGTTGTTTGTTTGATTGTTTGTGGGCACGCGCTTGTGTGTGCGCGCGTGGTTGCGTGTCTTTCTGGGCGTGGTTGCGTGTTTGTGTGATTGAGCGCACGAGCGCGTTTGGTTTTTGTGTTTGTGTGCGTGTGTGCGTGTGTGCGTGTGTGCGTGTGTGCGTGTGTGCGTGTGTGCGTGTGTGTGCGTGTGTGCGTGTGTGCGTGTGCGCGTGTGCGCGTGCGCGCGTGCGTGCGTGCGTGCGCGCGTGCTTGTGTGCGTGTGTCTGTGTGTGCGTGTGTGCGTGTGTGCGTGTGTGCGCGTGTGTGCGTGTGTGCGTGTGTGCGTGAGTGCGTGTGTGCGTGTGTGCGTGTGTGCGTGTGTGCGTGTGTGCGTGTGTGCGTGAATGCGTGTGTGTGTGTGTGTGTGTGTGTGTGCGTGCGAATGCGTGTTTGTGTGCATGTGCGTGTGTGTGTGCGTGCATTTGTGTGTGGGGGCGCGATCGCGCATGCGCACGTGTGCGCGTGTGCGTGTGAGCGCGTCAGCGTGTGCGCGCGTTCGAGCGTGCGCGCGCGCGCGCGTGAGCGCGTCCGCACGTGCGCGCGCCGCAACAGGTGTGCGCGCGCGTGTGCGCGTGTGCGCGGGCGCGCGGGTCCGCATGTGCGC